ACATTGGCGTAATAATAACGTCCCACATTGGATTGACATTGTTTCTACACACAGCTGCTGGATATGCTTTATTTATTCACACAAGTTCAACTACAACAGAGGGCACCGAGTCAATCGCAAAATAAATTTGGTTTGTAATCTAACTATTTGTAGCATATATGTGACATTACATATCTCCGCCAACATCATGATCGTAACACAGTGTGGAAAGTATCATATCATACACCTATATCGTCTACATACTGTAAAATGACTAATTTTCACCGGGTTTAAATTTCACTGATTTAGCATTTCAGGCGCATTCAGTGGGATTTATATTCACGGTTTTATCATTTAGATAATGTGTTCTATGCTAAATTTCACATATTCACTGGGCTTTAATTTAGCGCATTTTCCAGTCAGCGAAATGAGCAAAATTAAAACCCAGTGAATAATTAACTCTTTTACAGTACCGTAGATACTACTATATTACATGATTACAAAACAGACATGGTATTTTTACAAGATGCAATATACATTCAACATTGTGGCGTTTTAGCAAACGAAAAAACGAACTCTCACCGAGAAAGGAATTCATATTTTCTATCTACTTCCACGCCGCATGTTTGACCAAATCACTAAAAAATATGTCCGTAAATGGAAGAAGTTAAGTTGGTAACATTCATGGTTAGTATATGCCGCCATTTTCTTCATTATTGTTTTAAATTAGCATCACCCAAATCGTAATGTTTTATAGCGCGGATTAAAACTGCGTAAATATGTGCCAAGATTTCTCAGTTGTATTATTTTTAAAATAATACTATTGTGTTTCCTGTCTGTAAGCTCACATTCAATTGACCAATTTAGATGGAATGAAAATAGTGATACATTTTTACGGTTACAATTTTTATTTATGATAAAAAATAATATTAATGAGCCAGACAGATCGATTGAACAATGATATATCCGACTATCGTCATTACTTTAATACCCATGTATTACGTCAACTACAGGCAGTGACATCTGAAAAAATACAGAACAGAAAATGCCTTTGAAAACAATCATCACGCCAGCTTGTCGCGATACGTAAAAAAAATTGTTGATTTAGTCAGGTCATCTCGATATTAAGTATTGAAAGTCACACTGATGACCTAAATAAGGAGGCTGTGTTGTTGGATTTATCGTAACTGAGACAAACATTCGTCATTCAATTCTGCAGCTGGTGCACTGTGTACTCATTAATATGGCTGATGATTCGACTTACAAATACCATGACATAATGGTTATGTATATTGAATAACATTTCTGAATAACATAAATCGCATTTCTTGGAAATCTGAGCAGTATTATACTCAGCGTGCCAACACGACGAAGGCTTCAGGTGTGAGTGAATTCCCGGTACAGAATACATCAATGTGCGTCTAAGCATAGACTTTAAAAATTATATTGACAATACATAATTTCCGTCGAAATGTAACCATTTTAATTCCTCTGTAGAGTTTTATGTGTTTCAATAAAGTTGATTATACATCAGATTATACCAGTCAGCTCGTAGCCACTAACCCTGGCATGGTCGGCGATAGTTATTGCGTCTTCGGATTCACTCGAGTGCGTTTTGCGCTCTCGCCAACGGATTCACAGACGAAAACCGAACATGTGCAACCAAGGCCATATTAAGAATTTTATTTTCAAATGGAATTTCATCAAAATTGTGATCAAACATTTTTACAACAAACCAATGGGTCAAAAGTTCATCTTTTTACTGATTAGACTTTGTCCCAGATCACATGGCACAAATCAAAACACTGATGATACCAGTAGGTAATAGTAGTAATTACAATCGCATAGAATATTTTAACAACTACTAGTATTCATACTCATGTAAGTTGCTCCCTCTATCGGTGGCAAAATATTCAGGTGTACGTTGACTGAGAGGGCGCAAATGTCTTGTTTCAACTGTAATTTCTGTTCAGAGTAGCACAGAAACCCAGTCTAAATGAATGAAAAATAAGTCCTGGGAGTCCTCGTACACACTCAAAATCAACACTACGTAAACAGTTATCTTATCTGACTTGATCAACAACACGACTTCATGAGCTGTATTAGCCATGAATATTCCAGCTATCCCCCCCAAATGGTTGACCACTTTAAATGGTTTGCATAGCATGCAAGCCACTGCAACAATAATACTCTGTCAATTTATTTCATAAACAGCTTTCCAATAAGTGTAAAAAATCTTAACAGACAATGTTATCTGCTTCATCGAGTGACCTCTTGTTGTACTAATTAACACAAAATTAGTATTTATCAGTGTTACATACAGGGCAGGGGTACACTACATTTTGACTTCAATATAACTTCTTTCTATAAGTTGCTTATTGCAAACTACACTATACAAGACAAAGCGGGGTAACTTGAATGTCTATAATTTATTTATTTATTATTATACAAATATATTAACGCACAGAATAAAGTATAAATGTTTAAAAACCTGAAATAGAATTCCAAGCCCAGATTACATAAACTTAAATGCATGTTAAGTTCACATTTTATTTCTTTTAGACATTTGATTATAAAGGCAAAAATTATTTATTTCATCACAAGAGTTGAAATCTAATTTCATGAAATAGTGGTATCTCAAGATATAAAAGTGGTTCGTACAGTGATTTCAAGTTGATGAAGCAAAGTGACTGGGTAGAAGATATTCTTTACAAAAAAGGCAGCAAAGCACAGCTTTTATGCCTCAATCTCATATCACAATTTTTATTTTTGGATGTATTCATTTAAGGCAGTTGTGGCATAAATGAAATGACTAGTTTTTGAAATTGGTCTGTATAGCCTATTATTTTTTGTGCATCAGAAATGTGTACAAAACAAAGTAAAATGTCACAAGCCTCTGATGTTAAGGAGCAGACAATTTGAAACTCTGAAAAAGACAGGCAACTAATTTATGTTAAAATCAAATCGGACGGTGCCCAGCAATCTTTCCACTTCCACCGATTTCAAATTTAGCAAAATTATTTGACTCCTTACCCAGGCTACTAGACAAAAACTGTTATGTAATCATTACAAGAAGCATGTGAGCTTGACCAACATCAGTTTTCCCCCTGCATATTGCCGGTAACCAACAACAAACCAGATCACACAGTGCAGTATCATTATCAACTTTTCTTTCTCCACCAACTGTTCCCTAGAAATTCTTTCTTTATGTTCTGAATTATCTTAGGGATCTGACAATCACGTTTTGTTATTCTCACACCATGATACAGGTAAGATCTATCACCTGTGCACTAATTGCATATATTCCAAACTTTGAACAAAGAGTCACATTTTTCAATAAATCTGATATGATGGGGTCAGATGATTATTTCAGTTGGAATTAGTTTTCGCTGAAAAGACATTTTGCCAGTTTCATATGAAGTTTATTTTTACTGATATTCAATTGAGGTTGAATGAAAAAAATACAAAAAAAGTTTATTTTTACTGATATTCAATGAGTTGAATGAAAAAAATACAAAAAAAAGTTTATTCAATGGATTTTATTTTTCCTGATTCATCCCTTCAGCAAAAAATAATTCCAAGTGAAAATAAAGTACAGTAATAAATGTGAGCAATAGTCAAAATGAACCAATCATATCCATAGATTGATGTCACATGATATGGAGACATAGAAG